GAAAAACACCTAAAAACACTTAATCCCCCACCCACACATCCCAATCCAATTAGCAATTCCACCTGCCGGCTGACAACATAGCCCCTGGCCAGTCCAGCCCCCGCACAACCCCCAAACGGCGGCAACCACCCTTGGGCTGTTGCCCTTCAGCCGCCGGCCCCGGCTGCGTCCGACGAGATAAGCCGGCGGCCCGTCCTCACACCCCGCCCCCAATCCAGCGTGGCTCTTACCCAGCGCCGGCAGGGCGGAGAAGCGAGGGTGGCTGACCGGCACTCACCAGCCGGCAAGATGGCGGCATCCTCCCCGGCAGCAGCGTCATCGACCGGCCAGCGTCCTCCGGCCCCAGTGGGTCCAGCAATGGCCGCGGGCCCTGGGATCCGGTGGAGCGCCCCATGGTGTTCCCCGGCTCGATAGTGGTGGCAGTGGCGGCGCAGCAGCAGCAGCAGATGGTCGGAGGGAGGGTGTGAGAGGGGCCCAGTTCCGCATCCGGCGAGATAAGCCGGCAGCCCGTCCCCGCACCCCACCCCCAATCCGGCGTGGCTCTCACCCAGCGCCGGCGGAGGAGAGAAGCGAGGGTGGCCACCCGGCACTCACCGGCCGGCAAGTTGGCGGCATCCTCCCCGGTAGCAGCATTGTTGACCGGCCGGCGTCCTCCGGCCCTGCTGGGTCCAGCAATGGCCGCGGGCCCTGGGGTCTGGTGGAGCGCCCCGCGGTGTTCCCCGGCTCAACGGCGGTGGCGGCGTCCTTGGCCATTTCTTCTGTAGCCAATTGTAGCCCTGAGTGGAGCAGAGCATGAGTGAAAAAGAACAAGGGAAAGGAGTAAAACCACATTCCCCACCAGCATCCTGCCTTCAGCACCTCTCTCAGTGGGATGTATTTCTGGGTAGCATGCGCAGAATAGCACTGCAATGCCTAACACTCTTATGTAGAAGTAATATGTGTTCAACTGCAAATCAGAGGGATTGGATTCCTAAAAAATACATTTCACAAGTGGTGGGAACAAAATGACTGTTTACACTTTCATCACACTAGAACTAACAGGAAAGTGATCTGGTGACTCTTCTAACAGTTTCTGAGGAGGTTTTTCAAGCTTAATTATATAAAGTGCAATCTTTAACACCTATATCCGTGGCATATTTCTGTTGTTGCTCAGTTGGTTATCAAGGCATCTTCCCTCTTTGGCAACAGCACATATCAGAATTCAGCAGAATTAACCTAAAGGGTTAATTAACAAGTTTCAAACTTGTGTATGTCAAACATTTTCTATTATGTTTCTTTTTCATGTTGTAAACCACCCAAAGAGCTTTGGCTCTTGAGTAATACAGAAATGTTATGAGTGAATACATGAAATAAAATATGAGTGAATCTCCCAGGGATGTATGTGACTTTTGAAACTATTTAGCTGTAAAGCAGGGGTGGATAATGTATGGGCCGAAACATCAGAAGAGCTACAAGTTCCATCAGCCCTAGCTAATATAGCCAATGTTGAGGGCTTATGGGATTTGCAGTCCTTTTGATATTTTGGCTTACAGCTCCCATCATCTCTCATCCCTACTTTAAAGCATCTACAGTCGAGTCCTGGTTTGATAAGAGCAGCACCACTAGAAAAAAAGGGGGAATGGGGTTAGCCATGCCCCCTCTGTGGGTATTATAACAGGGCTTTTAGTTTCTGGAGGTGAAATACAAGGCGTGGGGGGATCAAATGGCCTATGCAATGACCTTGATCCAAACCACATCCACACACCAGAGCTGCTATTAAGCACAGATTGTTTAATATAAAGGTGCCTACAGAGTGCCTTATGTTCCCCCACCATGACTAAGACTAAAAGGGGAGCAGAGTGAGGGTGTTAAATCGGGGTTGTGGCACAGAGGGAAAATGTTAAACCCCTTTTGCCCTTATGCCACCACTGAAATCCAAACTGAGCCTCTAATTGCTGCTTTTAGAAAAGAAAATTGCATCAGATCCAATCACAGAGTTTCCACATAACATCCCTAACTGTGGATTGGGAGAGGTTCTGAGGCGCCCAGAGACAACACTCCTTTGAAGTCAGACAATAAAGTTAAAAATTATTAAGGCTGAAAATTTGCACAATAAAGCAGGCTTGTCTCCCTGTGACTTTCTGATTGTCACCTCATCAAATCTCTTGGTATGCAAAACAGAAGACAACAAAAAGATCCCTCCACCCCTTGTGTTAATGGAAGTTTTGAGAACAAGGAAAGAAAGCTGAATTTCATTAATAATATACAATGCTGAAATGAAGTCCTTTCAAAATAGGGGATGTGTCCTTCAATCAAACAACTTCAATGTCATGTCTGTATCTTTGGAATTACTTGCTGTAATTTCTTTGCAGACCCCTCTTGCTTGCCCGTCAACCATTTGGGCTTTTAAAGCTGCATCCAGATCAAAATGGAGCTCACTCCCTGACCCCACCAGCCCTCCTTACCATAAAATAAATAAAAAGCTTCTTCATGAAAGTGAACTGAGCCACATCAAAGCAGTCAAACCTGGTCATGGTTACCCACATATTGGCTGCCTCCAAAATATATTGCAGTGCACTTTATGTGGGGCTGCCTCTGAAGACACTCCAGAAAATTCAGCTGATACAAAATGCATCCACTCACATGTTGGTGGGACTAGAACATCTGATGATATAACTAATTAGCTACCAGTATTTTAATGGGCCCAAATCCAAGTGCTGGCTTTAATCTCTAAAGCAGGGCTGGGCAACTTCTGGAGGCTTCGCCCCTGAATTCCCCTGTAGGCTGGATACACATGCCCCAGCAAATGCAAGGGAAAGCTGTTTTTTTAATGGGGTCTACAAGCTAATTTTGACCACATGGGTGCTCTAAAACAGCTACAAACACCTTTTCATTCAAATAATTTATTTAGAGAACAAGTGTATGGCCCTTGGGCAAGCATCTGAGAAGGCTGTCCAGCAAAAACGCCAAGAAAAGAGGACAGGCCCATGAAGAATGTCTTGGCCACTTCCCCCACCCCGCTGGCTTCAGCCCAGGAGGACACAGGAATCTCAGAAGCCTCTGAGTTCAAAAGCTTCTGAGAAGCAAGGGCGCAATTGACTGGACTGCACCCTTAATAAAGTTGGGGGTCAGTGAAGAATGATGTATCTTCAAGTTGCTCACTGTTTTTAAAAAGCTGTATCTAAGAATAATAGTATTATACAGGTTTGTTGTCCAGAGGACAATGTGTGGTACTTGCTTCAAAAAATGGTAATGCAGCAAGGCTACATTTGAGGACCTTCCTTTTCATTTTATTGATGTTCTGGACCTTTACCCTGAAGTCCTGCCTTGATGGCACCAGTATATGAAAGCCTATTGTACCACAATAAAACTAGGTTGAATCCAAACTGACTCATCCTTGGAGAAGACCAACTGAAATCAACCCGTATGTTAGTTATGATTAACCTGCCCAATTACTTATTTTATTTTATTTTATTTATTTAGGGAACTTCTATGCCGTCCCATTCGCCGAAGCCTCAGGACGGCTCACAAACATAAATAAATAACACTCTATAAAACAATATAATTTAACAGTATAAATTAAGTCGCCCTGGCCAAAGAATAAAATGAATAAATAATATTAACAATTAAAATAACGTTTGAATAAAAATGTCTTCACCTGGCACCAAAAAACAAATAACGACGGCGCCAGGCAGACCTCTCTGGGGAGCGCATTCCATAGATTGGGCGCCACCGCAGAGAAAGTCCTCCTCCGAGTATGTACCCTCCTAATTTCCTTCACCGAGGGTTCCCAGAGAAGGGCCTCTCCCGCTGATCTCAAGGGGCGGGCGGCATGTATGGACGTAAGCGCTCAGTGCCTAAATCTAGATCCAATTCTTTATCTTGAAGCACCAAGAGCTTTGCTGTGACAGTTGAATGAAAGCAAACTTTCCAGGAGTAAGCACCCAGATCATGAGACTTCCAGATAAACTGCAGGACTACAATCTTTTCCACACATATTTGGAGGCAAACAAAACTAACAGAATTGCACCATCAGGACATGATCTTATATGCACACACCTAGGAATAAGACACACTGAACTTGGTGACATTTGCTTCTGAAAAAATATGCAAAGGATTCCGTGGAAAGTCTGGAATCCTATATGCTTGTGGGAATTACATTTAAGTTGGGCAGTCACTTCCGTATCACCCTAAAAGAAGCCATAGGTTTGCATAAAATTTGCATAAGCTGGCTTTTTTCATAAAGTAAATTCAAATTTGAAAATTATTACTTTAATTTCAATAGAAATGCTGTACTTCTCACCATAATGTAGATGATTAACTTCCAGGAAACCTCTCACCCTGCCTGTTCAACCTGCTATTCTGATACTAACCTTTGTTGGGCAGCTTCAAGGCCCTGTTCTCCTTTCTTAGCATTTTTAATATTTATTGTCTTGAACTGGGCAACCCTACAGGTAAAGGACAACTTCAAAATGGAAGATATTTTTCTGACAGTAATCAAATAGAGAACCGCCCTCTGTAAAGACACACAGCGATTCCTCTTCCGAGTAAACACGCATAGATCGGCCTCAACTGCACACTGGCCCTGGGAGGAGGGAGTCCTAATGAGCACAATGGAAATTACTCCCTATTAGTCATACAAAGAAGGATAATCTGAGAGAACCCGGAAACAGAAGCGCCTTTTCATGGGAGATTAAGTCCCTCCAGGTTGTAGATGCGGAAGAATCCCCACCACAATTACAGAACCAACAGCAGAGCCTGCGGCCTACTTCTGGCGACCACAGCGACAACCTGCATTCCGTTGCTATGACACCCAGCCCCTTCAGGCGATTCCTGTTGGACTAACCGGAGCATGCGCATCTCAGTAGAAGACATAGCGCATGCGCCCGCATCCCCCTCCCCACCCCTCTGTCTCTCCCCACACACCCTATCCGCTGCCGCTCCCTCAAGCTGAGCAGAGGGAGGAGGAATTATTTCGTGCGCCTGCGCGGCCAAGGCCGATTAGGTTGGGCTTGTTCGTTGCGCATGCGCGGTGAGGGTGAAGGCGGTGGCGATAGTAGTAGTCGGGTATTCTGACATATTATTTTTTTCTTCCTCTTCATCTTCTCGTCCTCCTGTTTTGTTTTGTTTTTTTTCTGGGCTCCAGCTGTGGCCATGTCGTACGGTCCGTTAGAGATATACCGGCCCGGGGGCCTTCCGCCCCGAGACTTCAGCGCCATTATCCAGACCTGCAGCACGAACGTACAGCGACTGGCACAATGCAGTGAGTGAGAGTCCTGATGCCCATTACGCCTGCTGCCTGCTGTCCCCTCAGCCCTTTTAAATCCCCCCCCCCCCCCGGACATACAAGCAGAAAAATGCCCCCTTTGCCCTTTGCATTGGCTTCTCTTCTCTTTCCTTCCTCCCTATGGTCCTCCCTATGGCTTGCCCTACTTTGATTAAATCTGTTGAAATTAATAGTGCTTAGGTTAATCATGACAGCAGTAAGTCCCATTCATTTCATTGACTGACTTACTAGTACAGCTAGCATGGACTACAACCTCTCTTACTACTTCCTTGGTTAATTTTATGTCTTCAAAATGATTTTTGATCCTGGCTGTTCATCCATAACACATCAAATAACTTGTGGTATAAGGAGGTATTTTTATTTAAACTTATAAATGTTGGTTATCCATGCCTGGACATTAGGAATATTTATTTATTTGTAAGATGCATTAGCTTCCTATTTGAAACAAATCTATTTTAAGTAGGTTGGCCACTTTTGAAACAAATCTGATACATAAAATTTTCTAATAAACAAAAACAGTGGTAAGTAAGAGCTGCAGGGAACTCTGACCTTGCCCTAACTTAAGTCAAACTTAAAGTTAAATTTTAAATTATTTTTAAATGGTATAATTTGTAAAGATATACATCCTGCTTTTCACTACTGGTTTCTCAGGCACATGTATTCAACTTTATTTCTCTACTCTCCCTGCTTTTCCTGCCTATCTCACTATTTTCTGTTTGTTTCTTCAGGATTTGTGGTCCTCATACTTGTTTGTTTGTTTTGACATGTGAATAAGAGACTCATCTTGTGGCAATACCCATCAGCCCACAGAGGCTTACAGTTACCCAGTGCAAAGCAGAAGGAGGGGTAAAGCTGACTCCCACTTTCCCATCCTCCTGCCCTGCATATTTGCTAGGCAGACTTTTTTGCCCACCTAACTGGAATGTTCTGAAAGGGAAGGGGAGAAGGCTGGAGAAGTGTCAAATTAGCTCCTATTCTGGCCTCCCTTTCTCACCCACTTCCTTTCCCCCTTCTAAGCTTCCTTCTCCAACCTTGGAGAGCAGTCAGCCTGGCTTTTCCCATTGAGGGAGGGAGGGAGGGAGGGAGGCAGGGAGGGGAAGGGGGTCCTAAGCACTACCTTTTTGTGTCCAAGGAAACCTTAGCTTGCAGCCTCATCACAAAGTTGCCACTGCAGTCTGTCCTCTAAGCCCACTCTAGATAATGCAGAGTTCTGCAAAGCAAAAAGGGGAAAACTTTTGTGAGCAGTTAGTTACAAGAGTTAGCCAATTTCAGTAATGTTCCCCCAGTATATTCCCCCTAGTATTTCTATAAGTAGCAACATCCTGTGGTTCCAGTTTGGCCTGTACCTTGTAACTGGGAACATGGGAAGCATACCAAGTAAGGCAGGCATGTTTTCCCCATGACACATCCCTATCTTCAGCATGAGAGGGCAGCCTGAGTTACTCTGTTCAGCCATCCCTGGGGCAGTCCGTGTAGCTGTGTTTCGGTGTTCCCCAGAGATCAAATGGCTAGACTACAGTTTTACTTATAGTTTTACAAACTGTTGCATCAAGCAAGGATTCTCATAGCCTTTTTCTTCTTCAGAGAGGTGGACTTTGCTCAGTCCTTCATGATGATCAACTTTAAAAATTAGATCTTTTGACATCTTGGTGTTGGCCCATGGTTGGAATGAATACCTTGTCAAACTATTCCCAAACTTGGGATGCCTGTGGATCCCTGCCACAAATTGTTTATAAAAAGTCACAGTGATGGGTGAACTATTCTTGTGGACCAGCTCAAAACTTCAGTAATGGCATTTTTCGTTTCAGAGATGGTACCTATTAGGCAGGGATCTTGGCTGCAATTTCTTGCAACAGTGACTTGCTTTGGGCTACTTTTCCCCATTAATATTTTAGGGTGTCAAAATAATAACTTTTGGTCCTTTTCAAATTATCAGGTTCCAACACATCTTGAAATTTTCAAGGAGTAATATGAATGTAATGAGAACATTTAGAATTCAGTTTAGTCCCCCTTTAACAGATCAGATGTCTAAAATAGGAATGATATTACTGTCATGTTGGTTGTAAAGACTTTTTAATGTGAGTAGGCACTAGTTTATTTTTTAAAATACAGTGGTGCCTCGTACTTCAAACTTAATTTGTTTCAGGATGCCATTTGAACTCTGAATCATTCGAAGACTGAAGCAATGTTCCCCATTAGAAATAATGGAAAGTGAATTAATCCATTCCCAGACCCTGAACAATACCCATCTCAATAAACTTAAGCAGAAAACAGAAATATGTACAGGTTATATAGATAACCAAAAAATAAAGTGAGAAAAAGCACTGAAAACACTCAAAAAGGTATGTACTGAAAAGGGACTGAAAATTATTGAAAACTTGGGTGCAGTGTTTCCACAGTGACCGCATTTTTTCCACTGCATGTGCAGTTCAAACATAGAAGCATCATTTGAACTTCGGAATGATTTTAGCTCAATTTTAGCGTTTGAACCCTGGAACATTCAACCTTAGGGCTGTTTGAAATACAAGGCACCACAGTATAGTTAATTGGAAAATTAACATGACTTCTCTGTTGGACTAATACTCAGAAATGCTGTTGTGTGATTCTGCAGGAGTAATTCACAAATGTGGAACAGAGCATCTTGATACTCTCAGACATTTTAAGAGTTGCACTGCAGACAAAATCAACCAGGTCATGGTTGCAGCACGGTACAGGCATGCTGGGAGTGCTGGAACTATTTATAACATACTTGCTTGTCACTTGGGGAAGGTTCCACTATGTCTGATTTAATTATCTATGATTTAGCAATATAAGGCTAAAATAAGAATCATTCTTCAACAGAACAGTTTTCAAAGAGGACTGCATGGTAGGCCTGCTCAGCTCATGTCACTGGACAACGTCTCCTGTCCAAATCAGGGATTCTGGCTTGTTGCTCGCAAACAAGCCAGGATTATGTATCCCACTGTCTTTGGAAATAACATTGGGATCCCAAGTTCAGTTGCCACAGGAAGCTCTCCTTTTCCTGATTGCTTTACATACTTAGTGGAAGTCAGTGGACTCTGTTTACCGTCCATATTCTGAAATGTTGAGCAGCAATATATGGCTTGCAGCGATATGCAAGTATGGTAATTGAGTTCAATAAAACCTCCCAAGTAAGTGCATTCGTGTCCTTGATTTTTCTATTTCCTTATGATTGCACTCTTACCTTATAGATTGTGTTACACTTTGTAACTTATTGCTGACAGGTGTGATAATCTCAGTTTGATTAAATTTTGTTTTTTTACAGTCATAAGAAAAATGTTATAAAATATGAGTTTGCTAATATTATTTTCTTAATTTACTTAAATACAACTCTGTGTGGTGTCAAAGGATCTTAAAAGAAATATAACAGTGAAGGATTTTTTGTAACTGCAGGGAAAATGTACCACTGGAACTGATGCAACCTATGTTCATGTAAACAAAGTTGATCAGGCAATTAATTAAGCAACACTTGGTCAGATGAGATCTTTTATGATAAAATGATAATGTATCATTTATTTTGCTTTTATAGCTTCTCAGATAAAAAACTTAATGAGTCAGTTGGGAACCAAGCAGGACTCCAGCAAACTACAAGAAAGCCTGTAAGTATAACCTAAGCAGTCTTTTGTGTGTTACAGCAGCAAAGCCGAATGAATTGCGCACCACTTAACTCTGAGGTCTGGCCAAAATGTATAAAATGGGGTTGATAGAATAGACTGTACCACTTCAGGCTGCTACAAGGTGAAAAATAGCATTTTTGAATACTTCTGCCTGTAAAATAAAGCAGCTTCTCCAGCAACAATGCCCATCATCCCTGCAGGTAAATCAGCAACCATCTTAGTGCCCATGAGAATCTGTGGGGTAGAGGTTAGAATATTGGATTAGGATTAGAATTCAAGAGATTTGGAGTTCCATCCTCACTCAAGTGTAGCCCTAGCTTGACAAATTGTTGGAGAATTTGATGAACTTTTGATGAATCCCTCAAGGAGTTAAGAGAGGCTGATAATGGGTTAGTTCAGAAGGCATGGCAGTTTATTACACTTTGAACTTTTGTTCATGGGTTGTGGCATGTTGTACAGACTTGACCATCATTGGTTAAGCGAGAGTTAAACAACTCACGCTTAATCCATTTACTGATTGAAGAGTAATTGTGTGTGAAGTCTCAGTCTATGATGGGAGGACTCATGTGACCCCCCCCCACACCCACAAACTGCAGTTGGAAGTTTGCATATGCAAAATGGCAGCCACATAGCATGATGAACTGAGTCTTAATCTGAAAAGGAACAGTTCTTTAGGAACGCATGTCTGCCCTCAGTAGAACTGGAGGGGGAAGGCATGTGAAATGTTTTTATTTAAAGAACCCACAAGAGGGATTGTGTGGTCATCATAATTTGCAGTGTAAATGAGTTAAAGACAGTTAGATTTGCTGGTAGCATGATTCCATTTTATCCATCCAAAGAAGCTAGTGATCAAAGCTGAATGATGCCTTTCTTGTTACAGACAGCAGTTGCAGCACACAGCAAACCAGCTTGCCAAAGAGACCAATGAATACCTGAAGGAGCTGGGCTCCCTGCCACTCCCCTTGTCTACGTCAGAACAGGTCTGCGAATCACATTGCCGTGGGTTAGGATTTGCCCTTTGTTCCATGAAGAGGCATTAATTCCTCACTGCATCTGCTGAAATGGGTGATGCACTGCATGCTAGTGCATGAAATGGATACAGACTCTCCATTCTGTATCTCCAGTGCACACTCTGCTGTGCTAGTGCCTCAAGCTCATACACAGAACCATGGATACAGAATATTAGCTACCTGCAGTAGGTGTAGGGAGCTAATCAAAATCAGGATCTGTGTTCCCAGCTCCTGGTTTAAGTAGATCAGACGACAAGTTGTGAGCAAGATGCAGCAGATAGGAAGGCTCAAAATGGTAACAGCAGATCCAGTACATAGGAGACACAGAAGGAACTTGCAGTCCCAGTGAATGCATTCAGCTTGTGGTATAGAGGAAGGGTAGTCTTGTGAGCCATGCAGCGATATGGGCTACTATAGTGGCATACAAATTCATTAAATAAAATTAATAATAATAATTGTAACATGAGCTCATTTGTGCAGGTATAGTCTGGAGGCAGAATGAACTGCATGCCACAAAATGGCAAGAAATAAATTGCTGGTGTTCATCTTTTAAGATTTTCTGCTGTGCCTCTACTTTTTTTACCCACTTGGGTATTACTTTGCTTTGGAAACCATAGAGAAAGGAAGAGACTGGGTGTTTGCCACCAGCAGACAAAAAAAAAGTCTTAGCAGAGATTTGTGCCCACAGAAACAACTTCAGAATTTTTTATTGACGTTAGTGAATTCCCCTTGTTATTGTTGACATGGCAAGTTATAAGTGTAATTCTGTGTTTTCTAGCGCCAGCAGAAACTTCAGAAGGAGCGTTTAATGAATGACTTTTCCGCAGCCTTAAATAACTTTCAAGCGGTGCAGAGAAGAGTGTCAGAAAAAGAGAAGGAGGCTGTTGCCCGTGCAAGAGCTGGTTCCCGTCTCTCTGTAAGTTATCATCTGCCAGGATTTCTGCTTGAAGGGAATGGGTTATTAGGAGTAGGTTGCCTTCATACTTTTAAGTGATTGCCCTTTCTTCCTCTCCTTTCATTAGTTTGATTACTGTTCTGGATTAGTAGCTACTTCCCAAGTTTTGCATCAGTGCTACTATTGAGCAAGTAGAAAAGACAAGATCTAGTATTACTCCCTGTATAGGTTTTGTGAATTCTCAAGCATCTGATGACCATATTTATAGTTGGAAAGAAATATTCCTGGGATATGAGCAATTACCTCGATTGCTTATATTTTCTATTTCTTTCTATTTGTAGCACGCAGTGGTCTGGATTATACAGGTTTATAGTAGGTGGTAGAGCAGTGTATAATCATACCTTCCAGACCAGACTTCAACTTCAGTGGATCTTTGCTTTTTAACTTAAGTTGTCAGATTTTATTTTAAACGTGTTAGCTACTGCAGAAACTTTGCGGGGAAGGCAAACTTAAACTTCTAAATAAATAAATGGATTTGGATTGGTCCTAATCCATCCCAAAGTCTTCCAGTTTATGATTCTGTGGTATCTTTTCCACTGAAATCACCAGAACTTGCAAACTGTAGTATGGTAATTAAGCCATAAAGGGATTAGCTACTACAACTCTCAGCCTAGCATACTACAAATCCTATCATGCCTGACTTCTATCTATCTTTTTCCCCCAGGGAGATGAGAGGCGCAGAGAAGAGCAGTTGGTCTCATTTGACAGGTAGTATCTGCAGATTTGAAGTGACAATTACTTCTGTATCTTCAAATGCAAAAGCTTTTATTTTGTGTATTTACTTAAGAAATGAGACTGGTGTAGAGAAATAATGTTCTGTATCTTGAATCGAAACAGGACATTCCTTGTGATCTGATTCCCTCACCCTCTCTCTGATCTGCAAGAACAATAGTCTTGCAAATCGTCTTGCAATATCCAGATCAGGCAAACACTGTGAGAAATTGGGCAAACTTTGATGGCTTCTTCTGCAGCCAGACCAGAATTGAAAATCCTGGTTGAACTATGGTTTCAGTTCTGGTTTGGAAGCAGACTTTAGTCACCGGTGTGTAGCATCTACAGTGAGCACCTTCTTATTGTCACCCAGGAAGACTGAGAGGGAATTGAAGGGTGAAGACGTGTGCAAGCCTTGGACACCAGCCTGATGGTCAGATCTCAGAATCTGTTTCACTTGAGTTTCATACCAGACCTGCCACACTAGAATGTAAACCCTAATTCTAACCTTTTCCAACAATATGTTTAAATTTCACCATTTTTTGAGGGTGAGTAGCAAAAAAACCCTAACTTCCCCATCACAAGACTGGTTCTTATTTTTTAAAAAGCAACCCTGATAAAATTGTGAGCATACACAGGGTGTATTGGATGTAATGTAACAGGATGATGTTTGGAAACTTTGAAATTTGGATGCACAAATTACATTTATGCTATTCAGGTATTAATAGTTACCCATAAAATGGTCCCTCAGATTTATCTAGACAAAAAGACAGGATGTCTGATCATAGGAATTTCCATTGGAGAAATGGATTAAAATAAGTAGTATTGTAATTAAACTGGACTATATATAATATGTTGTTTGGAGAGTATAGCTCTTACCTTCCTTCAGAGTAAACACTTTTTATTATTCTTGGGTTTTGTTTGTTGGCTCAGGTACTGAAATATATTGTTATTTATCATTATATTCTATGTTTGTATTTATATTGTACTTTTAACCTTGTAAACTGTTCTGAGAGTCAAGCTGGCTAAGGAGGGTGATATATAAGAGCTTGTATAAATAATAATCAAATATGCAAAAAGTAAATACTGGCTTCCTCCTGTAAGGGGAACTTCTACAGAATTCTTAAAGAATTCTCATTCAGTTCAAGAATTCTTGCTTGCTTTTTATAGCGTAACAGATAAATAAAACTAATAGAACAGTCAATCAAATTTAGAGAGATACAGTCTTAATACATCTGAAGAGCACAATATGTTTGGCTGGTTTTGGGGGAAAGGGAAGCAAGGTTAATTGAGTTCAACCCATGCTGAAGTACTACATGAGCCTTTCCCAGCCTGGTGCCTCCCAGTCCTTTTCAACCAAGCAGTCTGATCCGTGCTAACCAGCATGGATGTGCGAGCTGGAGATAGGACTATAGTCCAAAACATCTGGGCAGCACCAGATTGGGGGAGGCTGTAGTAATAGTTGGAAGAACAGACTGCTATGTCACATTCTTTTTGCAGCAATGAAGAGTGGAATCAGATGCAGTCTCAGGAAGAAGATGTCGCAATAACAGAACAAGACCTTGAACTAATTAAGGAGAGAGAAACTGCCATTAGACAATTGGAGGTAAGAGGGTTAGGATTTTAACCAGATGCAAAGCCTTAAGGATTATGATTAACATTATTTTATCTATTTTATTTATTAAAAGCTTGTCTAGCCCGTCCACTACAGATGTCTCGGGATGGCATACAAGAAAAATGAGTAGAATAAAACAAACATCACAGCAACATTAAACATTATTATGTTTAAATAGATCCAAGAGAGGAGTTGAGGGGAGCCAAAATTATTCTGAAGCCACTCCGATACTCTACTCCCCCTTTTTTGGTATCCCAGCTACACTGGGATAGTGTGCACTCTCTAACTATGTAGGTACTCCTTCCTTCAGGAGAGTCAGAAAGAAGGTTTATGCTGCCAGAGTTATAGATGCTCTGAAATGAGGATGGCACTTTCTAGGATCTTGACACACATTGCTTAAATGAGGCTCCAGTAAATTTTCTACGCCTGTATTTGTCACCACCAAGAGGGAAAGTCATAAACCATTTTGCACACCTTTAACATGCAGAATGTCTCCCAAATGCAATGCAGCTCCAGCACAATTAGAAAATTGGAAGGGTAGAGGACCTTGTTACCAGTACACAACTTCTAGCACCAGGCAAGTAGATCCGCTGATTGATGTTCAAGGGTTTTTGGTGGATGAAAGTTGTGAGAAGGCATCTTGAAAAGATGCAACTTCATAAAGTTTGAGAGAGAGTTGTGCATTTCTCATTTTAGGGAGATTGCTTTGAGGTCGGAGGGCTTGAATCCAAAGAATCATTTCCATAAGCAAGATCAGGTATTTTCTCAGCAGTTTTTCAGGGGCTGAAACAGCTGTAGTAGAAAAGTGTGCAGAAGAAGCACCGGCAATATAACTCTCCCTGTGGAGCTCCGTCATGTGTCCCCCTGCATCATTTTTCCAGGAGAGGTCTCTTTAAGTACTGAGGCAATTTGGCAGAAAATGCAATTATGCTTCATGACTTTCCTTTCAGGCAGATATTCTGGATGTGAACCAGATATTTAAAGATTTGGCTATGATGATTCATGACCAGGGAGACATGATTGGTAAGTGGATACCTGTACTTGCTTTGCTTAACCTGTGGCATTTGTCTGCAAATTGTCTATTATGGCTATGTGATTATTTAGCCTGTGAAGGTTGCATGAGGATGTCTTACTGACTGAAGATTCATAATGGAGATGTTCTATAGAGTTTATAAGGGGTGCTCTTTGCATCAGAAAGGATCCCCAAATGTATGGATTATTTTACTCAGTTTGTCATAGACAAGCAGTTGATAATGAAAGCCAATGATGGCACTCATTTGGTTGCTGTGGTCTGTCTTAATAAACGCTACAGTTTCTAGAAAACATTGAAAAGCACATAAAATGGTATGATTCATTGTTCATATTTTCTCTGTGTTTATGCATGTCCATGCCACAAGATATGTGCACATGACATGTGTAACTTTTTTAATCACCCACAGGTGATTAAAAAAGGTGGTTGGCCTCTAAGTGGAGTGGGGTGGGGGAATGAGGCATGTTATCCCTTCTGAATGTGGGACCCAAGTTGTTGATCTGCTTTTTTTTAACAAGGTACCCATATTTCCCCAAAAATAAGACCTAACCAGAAAATAAGCCCTAGCATGATTTTTCAGGATATTCGTAATATAAGCCCTACCCCAAAAATAATCTCCAGTTAAGATCGTCAGCCAGACAGACACATTTAGTGTGTCTGTTGCAACACGCAATGGACATACTGATTTATAAAATACTAATATTGATATATAATTAAATACAAATAAATAATATTGACATTAATACTTAAATGATAATCTAAATTATAATTATTTGTAAATACCCAAGTGGGCGCCATTGGACAAGAGGTAAATGCCTATGCAAACAGATGAATTTGAGACTTATTGCCAAATGACCAATCGGAGTACAAACACAATGCACGAATAACATGCGTACTTGATAACGAACGGATGTGTTTCATAGTTCAATATGTCATGTGCTGTAACAGACATACTTAATGCACTCGTGTGTTGCTGCTCCTGTCATGTAAGTCTTCAAATAACACTTGATTTAATTGTAGATTTAAAGGGAATATTTTGACCCCCAGACAAGATGAGTGTAAAAAGAGAGAGAGATTCCACCAAGTACAAAAAAAAGGAATCATGGAGGACTGTTGGGGCAAGAAGCTTACGGATTTTGTAAGAAAAAATACAACATCACCTGAAAATAAGCCCTAATGCATCTTTTGGAGCAAAAATTAATATAAGACCCGGTCTTATTTTCGGAGAAACACAGTATTTTTTAGTCCTGTTTGACAGGCTCACCACACCTCTGATTTTATGCTAAAAGAGAGAGAGTGCCTAAGGTGGCTTAATTGTAGCAGTGTGAGATTGCTTTTTTTGAGTTTGTGCTCTTCTTCCCTATAGATAGCATTGAAGCAAATGTCGAAAATGCAGAGGTTCATGTGGAAAGTGCCAATGAGCAATTACAGAGAGCTGCTTATCATCAGGTAATGCTTGTGCAGTCCTGTGTTTGTTCCAAAATCAGAAGGGATCAGCAGGAAGGAAAAATTGCCTATCAAGAAAACATTTTTGTGACAGTGACTGGATTCAGGCAACATAGTAATCCACACTCAGGGGTAGAGAATGGGTTAAGTATGGGTTGTCATTAATCATAGGTTGTTCTGAGACAGGATACTGTGGCATCAGAACTCAGCTGTATCAACAAGCTCTGGCTTATAAACTATGAGCTCCCCATTAAAATAACCCGTGTCTTGTCGTTAGGTTGTGAATTGTGAGTTGTTCACCAAAGTGGATTATCGCCTCTCACTTTATACAACATGATAACCCATATTTCAATCAATTCAACTCAGGCCTTGAATATGGGTTACTGTCGGAACACAGGCACTGGTAGTGACTCAGCAAGCTTCTTGATACATGCACAGACCATCTTTTTGCCTTGTTTTCCTGCGTAGCAGGCTTCCATCCAGCTCGTGTTGAAACCTATCTGTTTTGTTTAAAATTGTGGAGTATAAAAGGAGCTTCCAATGCTGTGTGGGCATTTGCTCCTTAGGGGAAGGGAGGAAGAAAGAGTACCATTTTGTGCATAGCTCTGCCCATGCCCTTCTTTTGATTGACATCAGTAGCAAGCAATTGATACACTGCTTCCCTTTAAGTGAACTTTAAATATTTTGCATTACTAATTTAAGCATTTCTTTAACACTGCAATGGTTGACTTGAGATCCCATGTTCCATTTCCACTTTGATTAAATACTGTATCCAGTTCATCTCAGTTTCCTGTTGTAGAAACACATACCAGTTAAATTGTTTGATCATGTGACATCTCTGTAATGAAAACACCTCTTGTTATTTTCTCTTAATAGAAGAAATCACGTAAGAAGATCTGCATCCTGATTCTTAGCCTGGCTGTGGCTTCTCTAATCTTGATAATTATTTTATGGCAGGCATTAAAATGAAATATTTATATGGAATTGCATTAATTACAGAGGTGTTGGTTCCCCACCTCCCCCAGGGGAAAAGGGTAGACAAGCAGTGGAATGAATTCATTGAGATGAGATGGAATACAAACTGGTTTTCCTCTAGTAATTATAATATATAGAAACTAACATGAAGATAACTTGTTCTTGGACCTAGTGAACCATGAAGACAGTATTTATCCGTTTATGTAAAATTTTATGTAATTAAACTTACCTTGTGGGTTTTTTGTTTTCTCTATTATATTATTGCTGTCCAAAATGTAAAGTGTTGAAGAGTGTAATCGGTAATCTAGATTATCTTGTTAATGGACATATGCACTACATATTTAACTTTTTAAAATATGTATTGCTTTTATAAGTGACTTGCATAGGGATAACCTTTGAGAAGGGGCAACATCTCACTTACTGAGCAATTCTCACACTCCAGCACTTCTCTTGGTGTGATCCAGAGAGCTTCTGCAAATCTGCACTCTTGTACATGGGGCTGTCACATTTTTTCAAACAGCATTTCCCACGTACCATCGCATATGCTCTGAAACAACCAGAAATGATCTTCCAATGTACATTGTGAATGGAGAATAACCTTTCATGGTACACTGCAGCCCTTTGCATTAATCAGCCAATAGTGAACTTAAATGCCTCCTTTTTTTTAAATGGTATACTTAGTGAAAAATGTTGAGGCCGTTTGGATTTGGAACCAAGAATGTACTTAGTAATGACTAATCTAGTTTAGAAATATTTGTATCTCGTGTCTAGTAACATGGTTTCTCCATGTTGCATTTTTTTGTGGTTGAAAGTGAATAATTCAGCAATGTTTCCAAATGTCCAGTCGCCTAATAACATTGTGTTTGGTGGTGGGCCACTCTGCTCCCTCTTCCCAATTTTGTACCCCTAGCACATAGATTGGATAATGCAGCACTTAAAAGACATAGCACAGAGCTTTAAATGGATAAAACAGAGGTGATTTAAAAGGGTCATTTTATGCATAAATACCTGTCTAAGATAACATTTCTAACTTTTATAGTCTCTTGGTTGAGAATCTTACTTGACCCCTTAGGCTGTAAGAGAAAGGGCCAGTTCAAATGTAGTGGGAAATTGTGTCCCATAAAATGAATATGCTCTGTCACACTTTGGGCTATATGCATCCTTCCTGTCTTTTTTTCCATTGCCTGTGATAGGAGGAAATGTAAAGGTTGTTTTTAGAGTTCGGAGGAAACTGCAGTATTCTGCTGCCTTTAGATTTGGGAAGCTGTTTTGAACCTGACCTGCACATAACTGAGGTTTTAAAGAAATGATATAGTTGGACATAATGGGTTACTGCTTCTGTTGTTTGAAAAAAACTTAATGTCCTCTGTGCATGAAGGAGGTAAGAAGCATGTAAGCCCAAAGTTCATTGTAGCACATTCTCAAATCAGGAATCATGTGATACAGCCCTTTTGTCTGCTCTGAATTGATGTATTAGAGTAGCCTTCTCCAAGGTGATTCTATTCAAATGCTTTAGTCTTCAATTCCCATCAGCCCCAGCCAGCATGGCTAATGGTCAATATTGCTGGGAGCTGTAGTCTGAAACATCTGAAGAGCACCAATTTGAAGAAGTCTGTATTAGAGGGATCGTTTCATAGAGCTCCTGGCTCGGTCCCACTTCTAAATGTGAAACAGACTGAACAACTGACAAGGTAGAATTGTCAGATTCTATATACAAGAAATTATCTTTCTACTGACTCTTGCTATTTATTATTTTTCACATTTTGCTTATTTAAATTCCTAAACTGTGAAACCTAGTGTGGGAGAAGAATGATGCCCTCAGTTGCACATATTCCTTTGCACTATAATTCCATCATTCCATCCATTTTACTATCAATAAACCTTTTAAAAAGTATTTGATGTGATGTCTTTCTTTAAGGACAAATCTAAATCTTCATTCTATGCACCTGGGAAAATGGCTGTCTTCAATGGTAATCTGTGATGGCATTCCAATATGACATATTGTGAGTCTAAGATATATATGTAGAAACCAAGATTACAAAACTAAATGGTGACATTTGTCCCATATCTTTTCATACTGGTTTATCCGTTTTTAAGCTATTGGTCTATGTGTTCCCATACATGCAAATTTCTTTTTCACAATGTGGGCATGGGATTTTTTTAATTTTGCAAAAATAAGGAGTAATTATACTATGTGCAATTACATCAGTAGCTTTTTGGCTTGAGAAGGGGAAGTAAATCCTTGAGACTTCTTCAGTGACATGTGAAGTATCTGAGATTCTACAAGGTTGACAGTAGCCTTGCATTATGTAAGAAAATATAACTGGAAGATTATATGTACAAAATAATCTTTCTTTACAAGTGTGCAACTTGGTTAGGCCAATTCAGTAGTTTCTGAGTTGTATTACCCTATTATGGATTTTGGCACAAATTAATGCAGAAGAAAACAAAAAATGAGTATTTGCCTAGTCAAGGACAGAAATTATAAATTCCACATTAAAAGGAATGGGAAAAGAAACTCCTTCATGGTTGTTTCCTGTACCTGTACCTGAAACTGCCAAGGGAAGCAAAACTAGTTAGACTCATTTATTGTCTTTCCACAAGAGGGCAAAAGCATTTTGATTCCAACAGGCTTTTTAAAAGCTGTTTTGTTCACAGGAATAGGTTTAACTGATAGGTGGTTTATTTGTTTATAACCAATGTGAACCAATGTGCGGTTTGCCCAGTCACACACCTAGGCAAGCACTACATTGCTCACCACGGCATCACAGAAATCCTTGTAGGAGCTGGTGGTAAGGCCCTAAACCCTCTGGGCAGGCTTTTAAAGAATAAATACAGATCATAAAAGAATACAATTCAAAATACTAGACCATAATCCTTGGTCTAGAAATTACTCAAGTGGGTCCTTTTCATTCATAACACATTGAAGGGTATGGGAGAAGCTTGAACAGTGTATCACAGAAGTGAGTACACCCCTCACATTTTGCAAATATATCTTTTCATGTGACAACTCTGAAGAAATGACACTTTGCTAAAATGTAAAGTAGTGAGTATACAGCTTGTATAACTAAATTTGCTGTCCCCTCAAAATAACCCGACACACAGCCATTAATGTCTAAACCACTTGCAGCAAAAGTGAGTACACCCCTAAGTGAAACTGTCCAAATTAAGTGCGCAATCTGTTGCATGATAAGGCAGGAAAGGACCTACAGTTCCAAGCAGCAAAAAGCCAATACTTTGCACATAGATAGGGCTGCACCCTAAGGCATGGGTCACCATGGCAAAGCCAGAATCGACAGCAACAACGGTATATAAACAAAATATATGCACATAAATTATTTTTTTTCTTTATGTACATCCCACTTTTTCCCGGCAAGGAACCAAAGCAGCTTACATAGTACTTCTCTCCATTTTGATCCTCAACAACTCTGAGAGGCAGGCTAGGCACTAGAACCCAAACCTCTCCAGTCTCAGACCAACACTCTCCACCACTGCACCAACTCTCAGATATGCACAGGGTTTCCAGGAATGTTGGTTTTCCCCTTAGTATGGCAACATATTTCATCTATATCTTTTTATTTTTAGTAATGAGTATGCACTGTATAAAAATTATTGGAGAACAAATTTTAAAATACTTGTGAGGCAGAGGCGAAGGGTGCTGGGCTGGGACTCAGGAGATCTGGGTTCACGTCCCTACTCAGCCACGGAGCACACCTAAGCGACTCTGCGGCAGTCAGAGCTCACAGGGCGGTTGCTGTTGTGAGGCAACGATTGAGCTGCCTCGAGTTCCTTGAAAAAAAGGCAGGGTATAAAGACATTAAATAAAATAGGTCCTGTACTGCAAGTTGTACCGAAGAGCGGCCAGGCCTAGCGCTCGCCACTGGTTCTGCCGCCAAGACTTCCGAGCTCGGGCCCAAGCCGGAAGGAGAGACCAAATTCCCGCTCTTTCGGCAGCGCCGCCAAGGACGCTCCGCTCAAGCTCCAGCGCAGGCCAGGCCGGCCCGGCACTGGACTTCCGCCCCCGCCCTCCTCGCCGCGGTGCATGCCGGGACGGCCTCCCCTTCTCCTTCCGGGTCTTCCACTTTCCCGGCGTGCCTCAGGTCCGGCTGAATGGGGCAGTCCCAAGATGGCGGCGAACGCGAATTCTGCTGGTGGTGGCGGGAGTCTCCCGCTCTTTGACTGTCCGAGCTGGTGAGGGTGGAGGCCTGTGTCGTTGGACAGCGGGAAGGTGGATTGCTGTGCGGAAGGGTCTGGATTTCCCTGGGGAGGCGGAGCCGCCTCGTAAAGAGGGATTGGGCCTGGGTCCAGTAACCCATGCGAAGGAGGAGGGACTGTGAAGAATCATCAGGGCTTACACACCTTGAAGTGTCATGTTCCCCTAGAATATATAAAACATATGAAACGGAAAAAAAAGAAAATTTCACGGTTTTGAGCATGGCTAGAGGGCATGTTTTTTGCACTAACCGATGTGAAGTTAAAGGGTTCCTCTGAACATGAACAGAGCTACCCTGCGAATTGAGTGATGCATGTAAAGGAGCCTTTGAGCTTGAGGCAGAGATTGTGTTCATTACACCAAGCTATATAAAATAAAACGGCCTCTGAACATAGGGAGAGTGCACACTTTTTTAAAATACCGAGTGGCTTTTGTTAAGTAATAGGGAAAATAAGTCTGTATGCATGCAATGTTTGCACCCTTTTGCTGGAAGGGGTGGGGAAAAGTTGCGCAAAAAGCGGACAGTTAACTCACTTATTAGTGAATGTGCCATGTTAGTGAATTGTTACTTCCACTTGTTACATAAATATGGGAGTGGAAAGGAAGTTTCTCTAAGTATTCTTGAACCACATCTTAGCATCTGGGGTGGTGTACTTGTGCCCTCTCCTCCCCTTTCAGTTCTGTTGTGTTTCCATGGCTATGATTATTTTAGAGGAGAAAAAATATATTGTGTATAGGAATGTCTGTATGGCTGGTTGTAAGAGTCTGAGTAACATGTTAAACTGTAGTGGGACCACTACAAGATACGAAGAATGTAGTTCAATGTGATGCCAGGTGTTTGTGTATAGTCCTATGGCCAACAGCAAATGATACTTGCCCACCAACTGCCTGTATATGACATTGTTGGTTACTGGCCAGCAGCTATAACTTTGTTCTTGTTGTATCCAGATGGTCAGGCAAATACTCTGTTTTACTTAAGAAGATCATACACAGTGCTTGCTTTAGAAGTTTTGGTAGTGAAGGATGGAGATGTAACAAACAAATGCCTCTTCATTGGATGGGTGTGGCACTTCCCAGACCTTATGAAAATAGATATTATTTTGCTTGTTCAGTATGCTTTTACTGCTGTAAGCCCCACAATTCCTTCTTTTCCTAGAAACAATTTATCTTGCTTTTCTTTGTCAAATTATACAGGTTATGGAAGTATCTGTGCTTGTTTTCTGAGAGCTTCATATTTTGGAAGAGGGAATGTTGACTTGGTCACTATGATCATAGGGAGCTCCTTTGGTCAAACTGATGAACCTTCCCCAAAGGGAAAGGGATGGAAAAATGTACAAAAAACTCATTCCCCCACCAAATCTCTGGAAGAAGACAAAGGTGGGGTAGGAAGTTCTGGATTCCACCCCACTACTAGTAGTTATAGATTACTGCCAAGTCCAGATGAGGGTAACCTCTTTGCTTTTGACTGGAGAGACAGAAGGGGCCAAGCCTCCTTGCAGTGTAACTGATTAAAGAGCAGCAAATTGAGTTTTCGTGGTTGCACCTTGCTTCCTAATACATATACATAAAAGTGGCTAAGAGGAGGATTTTCTTCCTATCCACTCCATCCAAAGAATATGTCACAGCAGTGTGGCCATCCTGCATATAAATTTGTCAAAATAGGTTTGATGACAGGAGAGAAAATATGTAACATTTCTCTTGGTGATCTTCACAGTAAATCTTCACGGGATTTTGGGAACTGTCCAGAAAGGTTCATTTTTGTATAGTCTTCATGCTCCATATTTGCCAAACCATGAAAGATTCATATGTTTAAGATGAATTAACATCCTGTGAGATTCTAATAAATGCATTCTCCATAATAAATAATGGGGCTGTTAAAGAAATCAAACATTTCTCTGGTTTGTGGCCTGACAAGCAAGGTTTTACTTTCTGTGCTAATGATGGCTGGGGCTATCAGCTGTGGTACTGGTTTGGGGTGATGGAAAGAAGAAGAAGAATAGTGAAGGAGTGAGAAGAATGCACACTTTACATAGAAGTAAGTGTTCAAATCCCAAATTATTTGGTCTGGGGAAGGAGATTGTAGGATTTTCCCATGCTGCTTTTATTTATTTGTTCAATGCACATTTTAGCCCTCAATTTTTCTTCCATGGCAGCTCACTAGTGGAGAAAGAAAAAGAATAAAGTAACACTTAAAAATTACATACTATCAAACTTTAAAAACACATCAGAATAAAAACCTAAAAATGCAGTGCACTGGTATAAAAATCTAAGAACTGGCAAAAATTAAAATCAATCTTTAAAAGCCTGTAGTAACTTTTTTAAAGTTCTCAAAGCCCATCTAAAATTCGGAAAAGTGGGCTAAGTGCATTTGCTCAGGGAGAAGGTTCCATAACTGTGCCACCATCACTATTAAGGGTCTCCCTTTAACGTCCCCAATCCAAAGGTAACTGATTATAGGCCAGTGCAGAGGCCCATGCAATGACCCTTGAGTCAGAGAGCTTCATGTTGTTGTTTCTCTCTGCCACGCAGGTGAAGCCACTCCTTGGCATTCACTTCTAGTATAGATTTAACACAGTTTGGGGCCAGAAATACTGTTATGCATAAGAGGTAAGTTTTTAAGATTATTAGATCAGTTCAGTGAGCTTGATCCTTCTAACAGAGAAAAAATAATAAGAGTAATAAGTATTTCTAATGTTCAGAGGTTTTCAGAGCACTTAATGTATATTATTGTATAATCCTTACACCAGCTGTAAGGTGAGTATTATCCCCAACTGCCAGGCTGGGACAAGGGTCATGGAGACTGAGACACATGGTGACTGTAGCAGAGGCGAGAGTAAGAAAAGGGACTTCCTGAATTTGAGCTCCGTCACCTGGCCACTGTGCCAAAACCAGCCTCTCTAAATAAATGCATTACTCCTCAATAATGCACAAATATCCAAGACTTTATTTGTCAACACTGCTTAATTTTCCCTATACATGGATTAGACAAAGAAACATTCCTGTAGTGGTACTCTTTCTAAAAAGGACATATCAGTCCTTTTGCTTTTTGATTTCACTGAATGATAATAGTTTGTGCAAACCTCTAGTTGCAAACCTCATAAGAATATATGAAAACTGCTGGTTTAGCCCAGAGATATTTTTCTTCCAGCATCCTCTTAATCAGATTCGTCTGGGAGGTTCACAGGTAGGGGTTAGAGTGTTTGCCCCTAAGCTGCATAAGAGTATTTACTTTGAATATGAAGGGTCATAGGCCCACCTCATATATTTGTGGAATCTAATTTTAAAGCCATTCAAGGGACTCTCATATTTGATGGTACCCAATTCCATAAAATAACTAATGTGTCTTAAAAAGCATATTCATAGAATTGTCCAAAGATGCTGACAAATTTCACAAGCGCTTCATGTGGTACACTCTGAAATTGTGTATCCCACATATCTGTATTAAAAGGTCCTTGTTTCTCATATACTTCATTTCAGCATTTTGCAGCAGGTAAAACATGAGTAGTTCTTGCTGTATCTCCTAAGGCCAAATGTATGCATGTTTAGAAGGATATAAAGCCTAGAACTCCTAGCATCCTCTGGCCAACCATGTTGGCAGGGGCATGCTGGGAGCAGTCGGCCATTTATCTAAACATGCAACCCTTTAAAGTATGTCTGAGAGGTGTTTTTCATTTCCGTCTATTGGTCTGTGACCTGTAAAGAGTCCAAAGGCTCACTGGATTACGCCTAAGCAAAACATGCTTCTGTTTTTGTTTCCTAGGGCAGGAAAGCCTCCACCAGGGTTGCACCTGGATGTAGTCAAAGGAGACAAACTTATAGAGGTATGAAAATAGATGCAGAACATTTGAATGTGGACCTGATCTATATCTGTTCTGGGTAGCTGTAGCTACAAACACAAGCAGGAAACAGTATGCATCTGTGTGCCAGAATATCTCAGCACTTCTGGCAATCCCACTTGAGTTGCTTCCTGTTTTGCATGAATACAGACTCTGCATCAAAGTATGCACAGCACCTTACAACCAGATGGCAGTATTGTACCCTGGGGTGCAGGATATGCATCTCCCCAGTCACTGCCCTATGGCATTACCTTGTAAATGGTGCTTGTTTGGACCCAGAAGGGCAATCCTTTTGTAAAAAAAAAAAAACTGCTATCTTGACAATAACTGTGAGATACTTCTGTTAGACAGATGAGTAATAATATGCAGAAAAGCTCTCATGTCCAAGTTCAGTTCGGTCTGGTGGATCTCATCCATCCAGGGAATGGGGCAGGGGAATATATGTGGTATTTCACATGTCATGGTACGTGATACTCTATGGGTTCAACTTGGTCTTATACATCTCTTTTAAAAAGCTGAGATATGCACAGGCCTTGCACCCTTGTACTTCATCTTCATGCCACACCTTGTCTTCACCTGTCTCTTAAAAAAATAAGCATGGCTACCAAGATCAGAACATTCTGAGATCTAAGACAAACTTCAGTGTTTTAACATTATGGCTTGTTCTGATCTTTGTGAATAATTTGGATATAACAGGAAACTGGTTAATTAAAGACTTGTACAAGGTGTGAATGCAGGCATGTTTGGTTCATGGATATCTCACATATTAAGCCAAGGTACATACATTAGAACCAGGCCTGATTGGTTTGTATGTAGTTTCAAAAAGTGAACACCTCAAGAGCAATTGAAACCTAAAACACAGTGTGATCCGGCAATTACAAAAAATGCTTGTTTAATTCCAAATAGTTTGTTAAGCACTTGATACTAACCAAGCCATCTTTACCTTAGTCCAGAGGTATAACTTGTGATTGGCTGGGTCTAAGAAGTGCAACATCAAAGCAAGCCATGAAGTGATCAAGCTCAGTATGTGGAGAGTCACACTGGGTTATGATTCAGAGGCACAGATGAGTTTTCACCTGCTTATGATTTCTAGAGCAGTGAAGCGGCTCCTGCTTTTCCATTCCTCTTTCAAGTCTATAAAAGTTGTTTGTAGCTTTGTTAAAAGGCCTGGTTAGATATTGGCGGTGCTTGTTCACCTTTACTTATACATAAGCTTGCTGAGTCACATTGGTTAATTTCCATCCACAGATAGCTGTTGTCACTTAAGTGTAACTAAGTGTGCCTATCCTAGAAAACTGGTGATATCTTTGTGCTTTAAATGTAAATAAAATTTAACATAACTTCTGAAACATGATCTTGTGTTATAGCAGTAGTGCTGGAAAGATCTTTTATTCAGCTATGTCAGCCCTCCCCATTTGAAGTGGTGCAGCCCAAGCAAAGATGGAGTGCCACGGTCTGAACTAGTTTCTATCCAGTCAATGGTGGGGTTTCTTTTAACTGCCTGTCTTTCTAGGTGGGTGGCAATCTCTCCTCTGTATTATAAAAAAGAGCCTACTCTTACTCATAGCCTACTCTTTGTACTCAGATCCTTGCTTTTAAGATGACAAAGCAAAAAAAGGTTTGAGTCTTACCTTACCATCTCTTTGATATTTTACCACAGAAGCTGATCATTGATGAAAAGAAATACTATCTCTTTGGGAGAAATCCAGACTTATGTGATTTTACCATTGATCACCAGTCATGTTCTCGGGTCCATGCAGCCTTGGTCTACCACAAACATCTGAAGAGGGTGTTTCTTATAGATCTCAACAGCAGTAAGTTCACTGATAATTAAACAGCTCTTTGGGGGTAGGGTGCGCGCACGCAAAAGAAATGTTCAAGATTAATTTCTAGGCACTTCGGTTCAAATATATTTATCTTCATATTCCGCTGAAATGGGCAAAGTTTAAATTTTTAAGGGACACCATGACATTCCACAAAATGTCCCATCAGTTGGTTTTGGCTGTAGCTGGGGTATAGAACATGGGATCTATGAACACTGATATGCCTGTTGACAACACTGACACTGTTAGCAGCTGCCAGATGACCTGCTCCTCCTTATTTTCTGAAGATTTTCTTGCAATTGAAAGAGAAAAGAAAATAACAAGGAGACTGGCGTGCTGCAAAATGGAGGGTGTCCTTCAGTGAATCCTATTATCATTTGGATTCAAGAGACTAGTCTTTAAACATTGGTCCAGAGTTTGATTGTTTATTAAGCATTGGTCAAAAATGGTCCAAATTGCCCATGGCAGTGGGTCGCAGAGTAGGAGGAGGCAATGCCCTCAACCTCTGCTTTGACCCATGGTGATAAGATATTATGCCATCCTAGTCTTTTGGTGTTGGGTGCTCCTAGGTGTTTGGGATGGGAGACAGCTGGACATTCTTGAAACCTCGTCACCCTTGTCCAGAGGGAGTAAATGTGGCTTTGTTATCATTTTAGCTATTTTCTGTTTTGAGCTTAGTAGTGTATAATAGGGTCTGCACTGAAATGGCTAATGTTTTACCTGCCTGATAAGGTTCACTGTTGATCTGAACTTGTACCTTTTCAGGGAGGTTGCAGACGCCAGCCCTTTTAGGAGGGGCAGTATAGCTTTATAGTGCTGCTGCTGATCGCCTTGTGCCAAACTGATGAGTTTTAGAGGGTTCTGCACATTCTGACTGGTCTTGGTCACCAAGGCCAAGCTTGTGGGTGGCAGGACCCTGCTCCTCTTCTCATCCATAACTCTGTACATTTGCAGTTTGGAGCTGGAGTGATGGGTGGAGATCATCCCCACAATTGTGGAAGCCAAATGCAGGTGTAGAAACAATCCCCACCCTCTTCTTCCGGCTCTAGACCTCACTTGGGATGGGAAGAAAATACTTGTTTTGGGGACCTAAAGGGCCGTAAGTGCCCAAACAGATTGCCTTAGCCTGTTCTATTGAAAGCCAAAGAGTTGCAAGCTGAAAACTGTTCTGATAGTAAAGAAAGAAATATTGGAGGGTTCCACTCCTGCCCAATGCCAAATAGGACTGACCAAGAGGGGCAAACTGAAAAGAAAGGTTGGGATTTTGTGTTGCCCTTGCCAGAGAAGGATAGCAAGTGAAACTGAAGAATGTTGACTGTCCGCTGCTGCATTCTTAATTGCAAACTGTTCCAGGCCTTGGAATGCTAATATAGTTTCAGTAACTAAATAATAAAGAATCCATAAGGTACATAAAGGTGTATTTTTGATCATATTGAATGTCCCTGTCTCCTCGAATCTTTTCTCAATTTGTTTTTAAAGTTTGCATTTAATTTTACATGTTGATTTTACACAGTCCAGTGGGCTTTGGCCGTTGGGCATCTATAAATGAAAGAATAAGAATAATGAGGAGGAGGAGGCACTGAGATTATGAGCGTTGATCACTTCAAGGGTCCCGTGAAACCTTAATAACATCTTGAAGGCTAATGGTTGGTTCTTGGGGGGGTTCTAAAATTCTTAGCCCATGGCACATTCTTGGGTCACATTCGTCTGGAGCCTCACAAGCCTCAGCAGATTCCCATTGACTCTACGGTCTCGTTTGGCGCCTCCACACGGGCCTACACTCTGCGAGAAAAGCCTCAGACGGTGCCCTCTGCAGTAAAAGGAGATGAGAAGATGACCAGTGAGGATGATGAGCTCAAGGGACTGCTCGGCCTGCCAGAAGAGGAGACAGAGCTCGATGTGAGTATACCTTGGCTTGCCCATGGAATGAAGCTGTTTCACACGTCTACCTTGCGGAGGGAACAGGGGTTTCCAGGATGGGACCATGGCATCCACAACAGAATCTGAAGAGAGCTCTTTCTGTCTTGAAAACATTGCGTGTGATTCTGTATTAAGCTGGTTCTTACAGCCCAGATAGAACCAGGGCCAGGAAGACTGGCCAAACCTTTTTGGACTTTTTGTAGTCAAATTTCCATTACCTGATATAGTCAAGAAAACTCTTACTGCTTGTGGCTGAGCTTGCTAAAGGTCTCCTCCCATAGGCTCCTTTGATTAGGAGTGGTCTAATCCCAAATGCTAATGGAGTGTGTGGGAAAATAAGATGTCATTTTTAATTTGAGAGTATGTGCTGCACTGATAGTCTTCCTTTCGGCTTCTTAGAACCTGACAGAATTTAACACAGCCCACAACAAGAGGATCTCCACGTTAACTATAGAAGAAGGAAATTTAGATATCCAGAGACCAAAACGAAAACGAAAGAACTCAAGAGTAACATTCAGTGATGATGATGAGATCATCAACCCAGGTGAGTGACAGGTATAGGTCTGACTGCCTCTTGTTCTTGAGTTGGGGTCCCTCAATGTACAGAGGTCGTCCTGAAGGGCTTAGTGGTTGGTATATCCCTTCACTTTCAGCCGGCTTGTGTTATGTCCTCTTCAGTTCTGCGTACGCCCTTCAGAATCCATTTTCACATAAGCTTCGTACTTTATTCTGATTTACCCTTGCAGAGGACGTGGACCCTTCTGTTGGACGCTTCAGAAACATGGTACAAACAGCAGTTGTCCCCGTGAAGGTAAGCTGCTGAATTGGAAAACTGTAACAGTCTGCTCTTTGTTACTGCTAGATCCGTAGAGCTGTTTATAATAGCCCAGTCCTCATTATACTTTACACAGAAGTAAGTAGCATTGCCTTGGGACTTATTTTCAGGTATAATTGAATGTTTGGCAAAGATTGAATTGGGTAAGGAATAAAGACCAGTTCTGATACAACAAGAGCAGCGAGAATTTGGCAAGATATTTTCCTTGTTACTTGCTGTAAAGTCCTCTCTAACTTATGCCAACACTATGAATGAACACTCCCAAAGAGTCGTGACCTTGACAGCTGTGCTTAGCTCTTGAAAACTCAGGGCTGTGGCTTCCTTTATGGAATCAAGCCATCTCATATTTGGGATTTTTTCCATATACTGAAAGAATATGCCAAAGGTAGTGAAATCTAGCTCTTCAGAGTTGCAAACAGTAACTTTAATCAGTTCTGTGACTTGGAACTTAGGAGAAAAATTACCTCAGCCTAGCATAGCAAGTGAATGTGAATTGTTGTAAGTCAGAGTGAACCTCGGTAGACGAGAGGATGGCCACAACCAGGGGACTCTTAAAAGAATGACTCCTTAACCAAGACCTAGCATGAATGCCTCAGGACACGCTGAGAAACCATTTCACAGCAATGGACTTCAAGAATTTTGTCACTATCCTAGCACAATTCCCCCTGCTGGTCCTATAACAAAAAATGAAAAGCAAGAGCAATTTGGCAATTACAAAAATAATACAAAAACGGAGGAAAAATGTAATCAGTGGTGCTGCAGTTTGGAAGAAAGGGTATAGAAATCTATACATGTAGCAGAATGAGGTGAGAGGATAGAGTAACTCTTCAAATTCGAGGGTGGGAGAATTACATGGCTGCTTCCTTTGGCTTAAAAAACCTCCTGTGAAGAGCTGGGCATTTCTCTTTGATACACTCTCTGGATGATTTAAACCAACGCCGAAGTAGGTGCACTTGATATGTCTTCATCCTTTTACCTGACACATCTCTTTCATTGTAAGCCGCCCAGAGGGCCCTTCAGGCTGTGAAGCAGCATATGAATGTAATAAATACTAAATATATTTCCAAACAATGTTATACATCTTACTAAATCAAGTTGTTACTCCTAAGTAATGTTAGGTGTCCTACATAGGAGGAGATAGTTTATATCACTTTTTAGATAACTTTGGGCGGGGGGGGGGGTTACTCATTTTAAAACATATTGCAAAATAGAATACTTAATAACCAGTTAATGAATAGGGAATGCCTGAATTCGGTAGGTAGCATACAAATATTAGTATTTGAGAAATGACCAAATAGGTGCTTCATTTTCATAGAAACACCTTCTGTAAGTGGATCTAATAGGAGGTGTTGATTCAATTTAAACATTAACCGTAGGGTAAGATGTTTTAAGAGAGCTGTATTGACAAGGTTAAAAAAATTAAAGCAGATTTACATTTTCAAAATCCAGTTTTGACTTCCTGACAAACTTTTTTTTTAATTTGTATCT